TGTGATCTCCAGTATTGCTGCTTTGGAGAATCAAATGAAAATGATTGATTCTGTCATGAACTGTCAGCAGCTGACCAGTTTAAAATCCATAGAAAATGGATCAGGGGAAAGTGACCATTTGAGCAATGACTCCTCATCAGCTGTTGGTGATCTTGAAAGCCAGAGTGCAGGCAGCCCTGCAATGTCAGAGTCTTCTTCCTCCATGCAAGCTTTGTCTCCTGTGAATAGCAATAGTGAAAGTTTCAGATCAAAGTCCCCCGGTCTCAGTAACCAGGAAGAGCCACAAGAAATACAATTAAAGACAGAAAAACCAGACAGTCCACCACCCACAACTGAAAATGGAGGCGCATTAGACCTGACATCCACCAACCCGGGAAGACCGGTCATCAAAGAGGAGGCTCCTTTTAGTCTGCTGTTCCTGAACAGAGAACGTGGTAAGTTTAAAAGTACTGTTTGTAATATCTGTGGCAAGCCTTTTGCTTGTAAGAGTGCATTGGAAATTCACTACCGCAGCCATACTAAAGAACGTCCATTTGTTTGTACAGTCTGCAGTCGTGGGTGTTCCACTATGGGTAATTTAAAACAGCACTTACTGACGCACAAATTAAAAGAGCTGCCTTCTCAGTTATTTGAACCCAACTTTACTCTAGGTCCCAGCCAAAGTACTCCTAGCCTGGTCACCAGTACAGCACCAACCATGATCAAAATGGAAGTGAATGGTCACAGCAAGCCGATCTCTTTGGGTGAGGTTCCCTCGCTTCCAGCTGGAATCCAGGTTCCTGCTGCACCACAGACAGTGATGAGTCCGGGGATCACCCCTATGCTGGCACCCCCCCCTCGCCGGACTCCCAAGCAGCACAACTGTCAGTCGTGCGGGAAGACCTTCTCCTCAGCAAGTGCACTGCAGATACACGAGCGCACCCATACCGGTGAAAAACCGTTTGGTTGCACAATCTGTGGTAGAGCTTTTACCACAAAGGGGAATCTTAAGGTAAGAGGTCACATAAAACTGTAAAGGCTTGGGGAGGGTGGGTTAAAGAGCACTGCTCTTGAATTCAGCAAGTTTTAGCGCTAAGTGTTTGTCCCAAAGACAGGTGAGAAGGGAGCTTCAAGGAAATGCTTGCTGTACAGTGGTGGTCATTATGCTTCCACTGTGTAGAAGATAAGGACTGGAAACTGGCTGTGCAAAGATGCGAACTTTAAAACTGGTTCCAGGTGTACATGCAGGCATGCTGTAGTTCTGACAGATCAGCTGGTGGACATGTTCTGAGAGTTCTTATGGACCATCAATGCAAAATAACCTTGCTGTAAACCAGAAACACAGAGCTTTCTCAGCTCCTTGGGTGCCTCCCCAGTTTCTATTTTCTATTCCACTTTGCAGCCATTGCATAGTAGAAAGCTGTTTCTCACAGATTTACAATAGGTTACTACCGGACTGATCACTCCTATTCTTGCCATTTGGCTAACCATCAGGGCTCAGCCTGGGGAAGACATTTTAAATGTCCTTTTTAAAAATACTAAATTTAGCAAATTAATCAGTGCTTCTGACATGAGATAAAACATGAAAACGGACAGGATGAAAAAAGGAAAAGGGAAAAACCACCCATCTCCTAGTATGAGTAATGCCCTTAATAATCTTCAGTATGTGAGGTCTTCCAGCTTGCACGTGAAATTGTCTAACCCAAAAGAGAATGTACCCTTTAGTCTTGCAGCACTGTTTGTTTTTACTGAGAAGAATCAAATGCACATTGAAAAACTACTATGGATCTGGGTTTTCTTTGTGTGGGCTGAATGGACCTTAGAACTCTGTCCTTACTGGAATTGGTTTTTTTCAATGCAAATTAAAAAGCATTTTAAAAAAGCAAGTGCTACTCTAAATAACAGGATTTCAAGCTAGACACCTCACCAGAATGTGCTAACTTGGGGGTGCTTCTTGTCCCTGTTCACTCTGCAGGTTCACATGGGGACTCATATGTGGAATAACGCCCCTGCACGCCGTGGTCGACGACTCTCCGTGGAAAACCCCATGGCTTTGCTCGGTGGCGATGCTCTCAAGTTCTCCGAGATGTTCCAGAAGGATTTGGCAGCTCGGGCCATGAATGTTGACCCCAGTTTTTGGAACCAATACGCTGCAGCTATCACTAATGGACTTGCTATGAAGAACAATGAGATTTCTGTCATACAGAACGGAGGCATTCCTCAGCTCCCAGTAAGTCTAGGCGGAGGCGCCATCCCGCCTCTAAGTAACCTTACCGGTGGCATGGACAAAGCTCGCACAGGCAGCAGCCCTCCCATTGTCAGTCTGGACAAAGCAAGTTCTGAGACGGGAGCCAGTCGTCCATTCACCAGATTTATTGAGGATAATAAAGAGATTGGCATAAATTAAAAGCATTCATTCCGAATAACTGTTGGACCTCTACTCGACACAACACTTGTCCTGTTCCATTTACAGCTTTTGAAGCTAAGCATTAGTTTCCTGACCTAAACACATAGGTTCCCTTTAAAATTTTACTCATAACAGAAATACATAACTTTGTGGCTGCTGAAAAGTTGTCTTGCAAGGTGTGCATGGTACTTCTTTCAACAGTGAGTTTGACTGTTACTGAGAACTTTGAAACCTTTTAATTTAACAGAAAACAATCAAACAAACAAGTCATGGGATAACTTCATTAGAAACAGGCTAGTCTACATTCACTTTGCTTCTTACAAAACTTACTATCACCTGAGAAGGGGGGGCTTCATTACAGCATTTTCACACTTATTTGCTGGTTTTGTTCAAATTAGTTAGAAACTTGGACTATGTTTTTAGGAATCTTAATCTTAAATAAGTGATTTAGTACCCCAATGCTGTGTATTATTACAGTATCTTTGTCTGTAGTATTTATAATGTTAAGATTATGCGGGTAACAGACAATATACTAGCCCCAAACTTAAATGAAGCTTTTGTACTGCAAAATACATCTGGCTATGTGATTTTTCTTCTTTCTTTTTCCTTTTTTTTTTTTTTTTAAGCAAGTTTTGTTTTACTATGAATAAGTGGTTTCTTTCAATGCAGGCAAAATTGTGAAGTTTTATTGGGAAAGATAGCATGCTTTTCATGTGCAAGTACCTGTCAGTAACAAACCTTTTTTTATTTAAATATTTGTAGCTGCTATGTGAACAGTTGTTCTATTAAATGAAAAAAAAATGTAGCGTGGATTTTAGCTCAATGATTGGAAAACAAGTTACAGACAAACCTTAGCACCATAAATTATTCACAACATTATAAACAGTTGTGAGTAAATACTCCGTGTTATCAAAGCTGTACAATAAAAAGGTAATGTTTGTATAACGTGGTTGCAAACTCTTAATTTATACTATTGCACTTTTATTATTTTGCATTAGGGAGGTTTGTCTATAATTTGAAACTGAACAGAGATGTCAACTATTTTATAAATAGTACTTTGACTTAAGGAATAAGGAGGAGGACCCTGTTGCAGTTTCTTGTTTTGTTTTAAGCTTAAACAGTGAGAGAGCTCTATCAACTAAGCAGAAAATTGCAGAGAACTGTCAGATCCTTAGGAAATACAGGGACTGCTGTTTCTTAAATGGAAATGATTCATTTAACTTTTCTATGACGCCCACTTAAAAGCGTGACCACCCCTGACAGAATTCTGATACATTTGTTTTAGGAGTGTAATATTAATACAAGTCTAGGATAGAGGAAGGAAAACATTATGTAGGTTTAATTTTCCTGTAATCTGTTCTGTCTCTTTCACGCGTAACCATGAGAAAGATGCTGACTCCCTAATAATAGCGGGAACAAAAGAACTTTTGGGCAGCATGGGCAGTAGTAACACACAAATGCTCTATATTTATTTCCAACTGTCTGATTATCTTTCCAGATTGCTCCAAAGCACAATGTACTCTGATTAATCAAATATAATTTTACGTTGATTGCATTTTGGAATTACACTGAGTAAACAAAGGGAATGGTTCCATTCATAAGTGGGGAATGCTGAGGAGACTGGGGCTTAATCAAAACTTGAACAGTAAATGTTTTGTGTACTACCTCATTTTTGTGCATTACAAGCATGGTGGAGTTGACACTCTGAACTTCTGTCCAGCAGAATTGCTTGAGGGACATTATGGGTAGCTGGGTAACAGCACAAGGAGTTTTATGCCCCTGAAGAACGAATCAGACAGTGAGGTCTTCTCAGTTGAGACTGAAAAATAGGACAATCTTTCTTATAAAACAGAAACCATTACTGTAAGAGGATGGAGTATTTCTGCCATCATGTAATGGAGTGAGAAGAGGTTCAAAGACTTATTAGCTGTTTGTTTCTATTGGAAATGAACGATGAACTCTACAGCTCCATTTTCTGCAATGATGAGATAGAGATATATAGATATAAATATATATCTATATCTGAGCAAAATCATATGTCTGTAACACCTCTACAATATAACATCACTTTTTGCCACAGTGTGTGGGTGGTTAGGGGTATTTCCAAGCATTAAAGAAAAAAGAAAACTGAGGTGGCTTAATGTTGCTGTATGTCAGCAATTGAATGTTTTTATTTATCTGTGTAATTTTTGGTGTGACTTTTTTTTTGTTAGTATTTGGTACCATGTAGTGTTATCTCTATTCCCTAAAGGATGTGTATAACATAAAAAAAAGCCATATGTTACACCTTCTGAGTATCTCTCTAAACCCATAGACAAATCAGCACAAAAAATGGAATTGAATTCTCTGAAAAAAAAAAAAAAGAAAAAAATTAAAAAGAATGAAAAATAGAAAAGAAAAAATGAAAAAGGCAAAAGAGAAAAAATATGTAAAGTGTTGTAAATAAGATGGTTGACGATGGTGCAGTAAGACTGACCCCATTTTGTATTCAGGGTTAGGCCATTCCTCTCTGCATGGTGAAGAGAGACACTATTTTTATACTGTGATACCATGTAGGGCTAGGAGCCTCCCTGAAACAGCTGGGAATTGTTACCTAGATCCAATATTTTTTATTATTAAATTCTGTTGGCTTGACACATCTACTGATTGAAATGGATGTCTTAGTCTAGGTTACTATTTTTGTCATATGGAATTGAATAAAATGCAGGATGTAATATTATTTCTGAATTGCGTTCCTTGATTAATAACAGAACAAGATATGAGACTAAGGTCACTTGCGGTAGATTGGTGTCAATGACTTCTAATCATTGCATCTGAAAATCAGAGTAAGCTCGACACCGTATATTCAAGTGTTTTTCTAATTTATATTAACAGTGCAAAGAGATAGAATTATAAAAATCTCTTTTCCAATGAAAATAAATTTTAGAAGAATTTATCCCAAGGTAGTAGAACAAAAAAAAGACACCAAAAATATTTTGGAGGGGGGAAAACAGACTTTGGAATGACTACTGTTTCAAATTTACTGCTTTCTGAACTGAATTTATCCTGTACTATCTAATGAAAAAGCCTCCTTTTCAGGTTGTTTAAACATCTGCCTAATATTCACGATACACTGCATGAACAAATTTGTCAGGAGCAGTTCAAATTCTAAAATACAAAAAGGGAAAAAATTGACAACTCGCATCCGTTCATTCCAAATGACATAAACTATACGTTTAAACCCATGGTTTTGTTTTGTCTTTTTTTCCAATATCAAAGCATGTCTAACTTTAACCAAATTATTTTTTAACATTGATTTAAATAAAAGTATTTACATTCTTAAGGTTAGGCATGTGGTTACGTATCTCCTGCAAAAAAGCTGTATGTTTGAGTAAACTCCAAGCTGTTATATTCCAATGGTGAATGCCTGCTGCATTTAAAACAGACAAAAAATAAAAGAGAAAAATCTGTACTAATCATTTTTCAGTGGCCTTGTTATGCAGATACTGTGTTTTATAAGATGAACCCAAAGAAGGTGTGAGTTTCCTCAGGTGACTCAACAACAATGATAGATTTGTGCTTTTCTTCCTCCATGCACGTCCCTGAGTCTTGCTGAGAGAAAACATGATATGCAAAAGAGAAGAAAATCAAAGGAAAGCTGATAGCTATGGTTCTGTTCAAAACACAAGAGGAAAATTACCTGCTTTCCCTTCCTACCCCCCAAAGAAAGGATGAAAGCAGAATGGTATCTATTTTTAAATATGTATGGGTTATTTTTTTTATCATATGAAGACATGAAATAATAAAATATGCTACACAGATTAAAATGGTCAAAGTTTTTGAATTACAGATGTTTAAAAAGATAGCCATGTAGGAACTCAATATATGATCAGAAAAATTGCCTGTTATGATTTTTTAAGGGGAGTGTTCCAGCACGGCTTTTGAACTTTTCACTTCCATTTTCCCCATGAGTTATTAGAAAAACATAATTTATTAAATTATTGAACTAACATAATTAAATGATTGAAATAATTTTTCCCCCTTTTTTTTTCATTTTATATATATTAGCCCTCAATATATTATCTGTTCCTTTACTTGTTTTTTCCCTGTCTCTTTTGGCAAAAGCTTTGTTTTCCTAAAGCTGCATTTGTGCTGTATTTGTGTTGCCTTTAATTTACTTCTCTGCATGTACTCTGCCATTTGGAAGATACTGTGGTTTATTTTTTTCCTTTTTCTCTAATTCTGCAGAGGTCAAAAGAGCTGCCTGTTTTTTACGTCTATGTGTAACACTAGCATAATGAGTGATGAAGTCTTCAGTGATGTGATCAGGTATGTGCATAGCTCACAGGATTTGTTGACAAACATGCCATTCACACTCCCTCCTTCAGATGAAGGCATGAAGCTCGTTAGTGCTGCTGGTAGAGGGCAGCCACAGATGGGCAGGAGGATGGAAGTCCTTATCCTAAATTCACTCTGCCTGTTGTTACACCACTGAAGCTCTTTGGCCTTTAGTGGAGATACTCCAGGTTTGTTCTGGTGCAAGACGGACTGCTTCCAGTTTCAGATGTCTTGCTTTTCCTTATGCATTTTCAAAACAATGGCTAGCTATACAGTATTTTAAAGAAAGCCTAAGCAAAAGCATTCCAGACTTTATTTTCAAAAGAAGGAAAAGAGAATACATATATTTTAGTACATTCCACAGGATTATCTCTGTTTTAAAGGAGGTCCTGAAAGATGAATATAAAAAAATATATGGCTGTGCCCCTTAATATATAATTTGATGACATCATATGACTATTCAGAGTATTCACATAAATGAGTAAAATAACCTGTGATTTTATGCATATAAGCAAAAGAATGGGAGACTCCTGCTACAGCTCTGCTATACAAGGTATGCACTCACAGGGAAGTGCCTTGCCTTGCAGATATGAAAGGTATCAGCAGACTTATGAAAAGAAAAATACATGTTTGTGCATGTCACAGGACCAATGTATAGTACCTTATTTTTTCAAAGGGAGAATGTCTCAATCAATTGACTAAGTGACAAATTCGAAAGCCAACAGCTTTGGGCTGTGCCACTGACATTCTTAAGGAAGTGGGCAAGTTCTTAATTCAACTAATATTTTGCTTAAGAACAACATACTTCTGGGGCCTCTGGGAATCAGGAACTCAGGCCTCTGGAATCCCCTTGCAGCATCAGCTAGCACCTTGTAGTATTGGGATGAGTTGCCCCATCAGTAAGACGGGGTAATACTTTTGTACCTACCTCACAGGGGTGTTGTGAGGAATAGTCTTATGTTTGTATAGTGTTTCAAAGATGGAAAATGCTTGGTATTATCACTGAGTTTAGAGACTTTACAGTACATGTACTATTATTTATTATTTGTACTCCAGTAGTACCTATGAGCTCCAGTCAAGACTGAGAGGCCTTATCCTAAATGTTGTACACTCACCTAGTTGGGACTGATAGAAAATTTTACTCAGTAACATTTATCAGTGGAGATATTTCATTATCAAATGCCTATTTGATTCCTATAGGGTTTAATTAAATTATTTAGATATTTAAATTGATTATCAGTTTTAGGCTATGGCAGAGAGAATTATCTAGTATCACATTCTGTTTCAAACTTATATTGATTTTCAGAAAAAGTGCACCAATTTTCTATGGATACTCTACAAACAAATCTTGCCATTAGTGGAATTCTACTGTACTTTTTCCTATTAAAGATAAATATTAAATTACATGTGTGTGTATACATTATTATACACCAATACATTATATATGCCTATAAACATGTATGTTTTAATTTTCTTTAGCTCCTTAGATTAATTTCAAACTGTATGTGGCATATTTTGCTCAAAAATTGCCCATTTCAGATGCAACTTAAACATCGTTAAATGGTGTTGGCTCTCGGTAAAGATATAAAAACTGGAAAACATGACAACGAAAGACATATTGTTGCTATCATATTTATGAAGGCTTGCAAGGAAAGTGTCTAACTCTCAAATGTAGTAAATAACCTTCAGTAAATCATAGAAGTCTACTTAGATTATGTTGAAATAAACTACTACATCAGAATAAGATCACTGCATATAACTATGTTAAAATGAATAAATAATTCCAAAGGTAATGTTTGCTATCATTTGGATGTTGAACAGAAAGTAATTTGTTTCCCAGACTGGCAAGCCATAAGTTAGTATGTTTTTACAGGTATCTGATTTACAATACTGTGTTAAGCAGCCTCTTTAGCATCTGGTCATATGCTAAATATATTGGCTCAATTAATTCTATTAATAGTCTTGGCTTTTTTATTTGATTGTAAGGAAAGTTTTTGGTTTAGTTTTGATTGAATTGTTATCAGTGATGTTAGTCTCACTGACTTCACTCAGACACATCATGGAGTAAACGTATGAGCAACAGTGGGTAAATCTAGTCTAAAGAATGTCTCTTTCTTTTCCTTCTGGGTATTACAGACATCTCTCCATCACCCCATGATATGCTGGTCACCAGCAAACATACCGTAGGTTGTCATCTTCCTTGTGTGTTGATTAGCACCCGTGGCTCGGCCAATTTTGTTGAACACTTGGCACTTGTTCTGCTACAATGCACACTTCATATGGGACCTGTCAATACACTAAGTATCATATTTAAGATAGGCTGCTGGTGGAGTAAGTAAATGAACACCTCTGCTGGAAGTTGTATGTCATTATCTGTAGTGTGTGGTGAATAAAATGGGCACATAAATGGACGTGGTGGTCAGGATTTCTATCACTTTATACTCTCAGTAATGTGCTTGGGTATAGGAGGATTTAATTGGGTTTTGCTTTTTTAAACAATTGTCGTAAGAGCAGTTATGAACAGATACCTTAAAAAGGGTATCTGTTTTCAGGTAGGAGTTTTGCAGGAAGAACTTGATTGGGACCTGCCTTTTTTCTGCCCATTTTCTATGAAATTACTCTTCCCAACATAGTTTTCTAGATAAATTCATAGTCAGGATTTAGTCCTTACCTAGGTTTTAGCTAATGCATCTAATGGGTAACAGAATGTGTTTCCCTGTGCACTTCTGAAATTTTCTTAAAAGAAAATTCTTTATATCTTCAAACAGGTTTTTATGTATCTTGTGTCACTGAATGTGATATCTGTTCCAATACTTGGCAACAATCTGGACCACTTTGCAGTACTCTCCCTTACACTGGGTAGCCCAGTTCTCCACAATTTCCCCTAAGAAATGCAATGACACGTGCCAACCAGTATTAGTCATTAAATGGAATTTTTTCAATATGTTATCATGTAACTTATTACAATAGCTTCAATTCCACCCTCAGAGAAGGTAGAATAAATGAGCCTGGTAGTCTCTGCAGCCTACATATTTCCTTCTCTAAGCCCTACTATCTTCATGAAGCAATTTGCCAGTGTTTCTTCTGTGATAATGTGTCTTCTGATTCTTTTCAGGAAAGTAGTGCTGCTATGTCTATTTCTTTAGTTTCACTGTCTTTCTGTACATGACCATGTTCTTCACATGTTTTCTTTATGGTAGTGTTAGATTTGCTCAGTACACACATCTGTCCTTGCATTATGTTGAGATTAATTTATTTTTTGATTTTGGGGCCAGGCCATATTGTCTCCACTCATATCTCCACCTAATTTCAATTAATTGCTTTCACTGGGACTATGAGTAGAAGATACTCCACAATGAAGCAAAATTCAGCACTCTGAAACTTGGAAGAATATTAAAATGTTTGTCCAATTGGGATTACTGCACACCCACATGTTGAACACTTGAGCTTATTAACCTCAGCAGTTAGGCCTGTTATACATACAGCTAGTTCCACTCTTAGTTCCTCTGTGTCTGGAAACTTTTTCAGGCTGGCCTTGATTTTCCATAATTTTTAAAAATAGCCATATATTACTTTTCCCAAAAACCTATATCATTCACTTAGTGGCTAATGTTTTCTATGCAACAAGCAAATTGTAACAAATTTTGCTATTATTTCAATGGAACAACTCACATATAATGCTGAGATGGAAGTAAAGCTCAGATGAGTACAATAAATAGCCTTTTCTTCACAAGTATCTCCAAAAGTAGTTTTACCTGTATATCTCCACTGCTAAATTGAAGAAAAAGAGATCACATGATGAGCAACTAACATAGAGATCATGGCAATAGTAGTGTTAAACGCACTACTACCATGTGTTTAACACACAGTGCACAAACACGGGCACAGTATCAGAATTAAACACAATCATAAGGAAACAGAACCATACGTCTTTTCAATTAACAATTATGAGCTTTTTTGTTTTATAAGGATTGACTCACTTGGAATCAAGAGCATCTGAGGGAAGCCAAGCAGCATGTCCCTCAGTTCAGCTTCTTGTCAGACTCAGAAAACACTTTTTCGAGTTCAGTTGTTAAGGCTGGAGAGCTCCTGAAACCTGGAATATCTAGTCAATGCTAGTGTGTATAAATGTCACAAGTAGATTTTCAGCTTACAGACTCCACAGTCTTAGAAAAAAAAGAATATTTTATTACTTCTAAAGCTTACCATAGGGGTCCAAAAGAGGAATGAAAATGATCCTTAGAACATCCTGATAAGCGCAGCTGTAAAAGGACTCATCATTTTTCTGGACATAGATATTCTAATTTCTATAGAATCATTCACACCTGATTTACACTGCTATGGGCAAAATCAAAAGGCTGTAGTGACTGTATCATCCCTTTTTCATCAGAGCAAAACACTTGTCTCTTTTCTTAAACCATAAATTTTTCAATGTGTATTTTGTGGTATGAATCACAGTACACATTGGAAAAAGCATGGGATAATAAAAGTATATCTGTACTTCAGTATGTCTCAGGCCTGTTCCTGTTCTAGAGGCCACCTGTCCCAGGAGAAGCTGCATCCATATATTTTCAAACTCTTTCACTGTCTTGGAAGAAGAAGTTACATCCAAATGGAATATTGAAATTGGCCCTTGATCCCTCCTGGATATTGAATGGGAGTGTGCCTGTCAGCCTGTGTTAAAGCTTCCTGTGAATATGCTGCAGTCTGGTAGGGCAATTCCTGGCTGCCTGCCTTGGTCCTGGTCAGCTCAAGGAGATCATTAAAGCCTTTGAGGACAAACATTTCTTTAGTGAGAAGCAAAAGATGCTTTTAGGTGGAGTCCTTTTCTATCCTGCTTTTATATAGCTGTACTTTGGAAGTAACTGGAATGGACTCTATCAGACCACTCCATTCAGCATCTTTCTCTCTTGCCATGAGGGATCTGACTCGTGGTATGTGATTTCATAGGCCACATCTCATGCTCCTGGGAAGCTGGGCTTCTTCCACCAGCTCTTATGTTCAAAAGGTGAATTGTTCCTTGTAGGTTTTCTGAGGGGGTTCTCCAGATTCAGTGAAGCTGCCAGAACATCTTTTAGCACCTGTTTATTCATTATTTTATCTAGGCATGTTATCTAGCCCACTCTCTTTCCAGTGTAAGAATGTTATTCATGGTTATTCAGGAATAATATTTCCTGAATACTTGTGTAGACAGAGTAGTCCCTTAAGTAATGAGTTCAATTAGGCTAAGATACACTATGTAGCAATTCAATAACAAAAATCCTGGGAGGTAGAGGGAGGAGAGGCTTGCCAATTGCTTACACACAGTATGCTGGATGACAACTAAAGACTCCGTGCTGTGGCATATTTGGCACATGCTGGCCTTCAGTTATGCCTAGCAACTCTCAAGGTTTGAGCAGTTCCTTACTAAGGTTTTAATCAAGGAAAAAAGTAGCATGGTGTGCAAATTAGTAAGACAACAGGCTCGATTTGAAATCTCTTTGGGGATGTTCATTCTTACAGAATATCAGCATCTAAGAAAATCAATTTATCTCCCATTTTTTCCTAAAAAAATGTCAATAGACAGTTTAATTTAGCAATTCACTACCCTGAGCATAGGGTATTGGATTCAGAAATGTAACTTAAAAAAAAAAACTCTCAAAACTTGAAATGCATAAAATTTGACAGATTTTAATTAGGAATTACAATGGATTCAGCATTTGGTCTGAATTTCTCATTTCCATTGTTAAAACATTTAAATATTTATTCTAAGAAGACTGGTTAGCTGCATTTTAAATGGGCTAAACATTCTACCTTGTGCTTGAAAAAACATACCTCCACTATATATTCTTATGAGAGAATAATACATTGCAAAAATGCCTAGAAACCTTATTTGGCTCTGCTTGTAGTCTAGTGATATAACTCTTCTCAGTTTCCATTTCAAGTTCCATTTGAGGAGCCTACCCTGTAAAATGTTGCTCATTTTAGAGAAAATTCCTGCAAGATTTAAAACCTACTTCCAGTCATTATAATGACTATTCAAATGAAAACAAAACCCAAAACCTAGCAACACTACGTGAAAATAATATGGAATTAAAGGATTCTTATGCCAATACCTCTGACTCATCTGCTTTTCAAGCTCCTGGTTCTGTGATAGCAATGGGATTCTGCCTGCCACAGCATTAAGCATTCTTTTACAGTTTCTGAGGAGGTGACTGCCAGTCAAACCTCTTGACTGCTGCTGGGATTAAGTCTTCAGAGGCTCGAGATATTGATGGAGATTTCTTAGCATTGATTTTATGGAGAATGTTAAAATGTAAAGTTTCACTCAAATGCTTCAGATGAATTACCTTATTACAGTTGTCGAGCCACAGAAGCATAGGAAAACTTTGGGTAATTAAATAAAAGCGAAAAGCAGATTTCAGCTGCTGAAATCATGCCACAGCTTGAGAAGCTGTGCTGATAGGCCACTCATTGTTGACAAAGGTTAGAACTTGCCCACTGGGTTAGGTTAGGATCCCTGAGCCATACCATACCTGATTGCTGATTGACCCAGTAAAAGCAAGACCCTAACAGGGTATTGGAAAACAAAAAGCCCCGTTTTTCCACTGCAAGACAGAAATTTGACTGTTCTCTGGAGCACTTAAAGTTGATGTACTATAGTTTCCATGATTAGAGCATTACAGTAGAGCTGAAACTCTGCCAGGGATTTCAATATGGATTTTTTTGTGCTTTGTTTTTAACTCATCTATATGCCAGTTCATTAACTTGAGGTAAGCTGTTCTCAGCTTGTATTTGACTTCTGCTATCATTATTCTTATAATTGGCTTCCATCCATGCTATTTTGTATACTGGCAACTTGTACTGTTCTGTTCACAGGATGTATAACTCAATAACTAGTTTTAATGTAACTGAAAGCATTTAGAGAAATCACAAATACCCATCACAGTCCTGGTTTTATTTGTTAAGATGTC